ATAAACCCACGATGCAGGAGTTCATCTACCTGTCTCTTAAATTCAGCATACTCCGTAAGGTTCATGCGATAATGAGGTAGGTTAGGAAGGGAAGCTCCTGGTACTAAATTGATGATGTGTTGGATGTCCCTTAGAGGTGGAAGTTGGTTGGGTAAATCCTCTGGGAAAACATCAGCAAAGGTCTCAAGGAGGGGCTTAACCTCATTTGGAATAGGTTCTTCCAGATCTGCGCTCACTTCCCGAGCTACTAAGGCGTAAATGAGTGAACCTAACACTAGTTAAGTATCCAGATCTTTAGTAGTTAACAGGTTTAGGCCTGTGCTAGGATTAAGGGGAGTGGGTGTACGTCCTCCTTGGTAGACTTGGGTTGGGAGGGTAAGAGCTTAATCTTCTTACCGTCATGCTCGAACACGCAGGTGTTAGATCTCCCATAGATATGAACGTCGTTATCGAACAGCCATGGACGTCCAAGAATGATCTGACCAACATCCATGGTTAACACATCGCACCAAATATTTTTCTTGTATCCCACAAATTCAATGGGAATAAGGCTCCTTTCTTTCACTTGCAAAGCGGTTGAGTTGATCCAAGCGACGTTGTAGGGACTCGGGTGTGGAGTAGTTTTCATGTGAAGCTTAGAGATCATAGTAGATGACACAACATTAATTCAATTTCCATTATCGATGATAACCTTACAATTCTTATCGTTGATTTTGGTAAAAGTATGGAAGATGGAGGTTGTAAGCCAATCCTCAATCAGTTTAGGTTGTGATAAGGCACATCTAACAACTTGTAGGTCTAAGGGGTTAATCTTTTGCAGACAGTGGATTACGGCGGTGTCTTCATCACAAAAAAAACCTTCCTCGTCGTCGTTGTGATGAACTAGTTCGGTGTCAGGTTCATCATCCTCATTGATAACTTCTTCAATTATGGTTACCTTATAGGAGCTGGAACATTGAGAGGCAATGCGCCCATACCCATGACATCTGAAGCATTTGGTTCCCACAGGGGTTTTGGGTGTCTCACGTTTAAGGGTTTTGTTTTAAAGTCAAAACGGGGTTGGAATTGTCCGGCAGTGGGTCGGCCAGTTGTGGGATCAGGTGATTTGTTTTGGGGTTGGTTGGAAGGAGGTTTAAAAGGATTAGAGCGGAAGTCTTGGCCCTTCAAATGGGCATTATTCTTTGATTCTTCCAGGTCTAACACAAGACTATAAGCAGCCTCTAAGGTGTTAATTCCTCTTGCAAAGAGTTCATTTTCAAGGTCTTTCCTAAGTCCCGCTCTAAACATGGATAGAAGTTGGGCGGGGGTAGTGGTTTCCTTGCCACTACAACAGATCATGAAGTCATCAAAAGCAAAGATATAATCCTTCACAGGTTTACTATCCTGGGTTAACCTATTCCAATGATCTAAGAGTCTGGGGTAGTAGGAAAGGGGAAGATACTTTTGCTTGAGCTCTTGTTTCATTGTCATCCAATCAGCGATAGGGTATTCTCCTCGAGTCTCATGCATATGTTCTAGGTTAGTCCAGTACTGACTAGCCCTACCAGTCAACTTCATTTCAGCAAACCTCACCTTTCTCGCATATGAAATGTTGTACCACATAAAGTAACTATCCATTCCCTTGAGTCAATCCAGGAAAACTTGTGGGTCAAGAGTGTCGTTAAAGGAAGGGGCATCGATTCGGATGTTCTTGAGTAACTGAGCATTGTTATCTCTCCAAATCGAATCATGTCCTACACGTTCCTGATTAGGTCTATGGTTTTGACGGTACTGGTCTCGGGGTGGTCTGTAGTTAGCTCGAGGTTCGTCGACGTATGGGGACGGAGGTCTAAAAGGGGTATACATTGTATGATTTCCTAACCGTTCAATGTGATCTAGACGGTCTCCAGCTTGTCATCTAAAATCAGCTAACTCGCCTTGAGTTTCTCTAATTTGTTGGGTAACAGCACCTAACTGACCTACGATCAAGTCTAAAGTACGATGAATTTGTTTCAGATCCATTGGGGTACACTAGGTGACACTTAGGGATGTTAAAGAATAGGGGGGCAGCACCTAAACCTATATGCCAACACTCCTAAAGCTCACTAGATAATGCAACAATGTATGGACAGCAAACAAACAAAGTGTTATTTCAAAAGGATGCAATGTGACACAACTAAGTAAATTTAAATATGACTATTTAGAACTCTAAGATAAATCCTAGCACATGCAAAAGGAGTAAATCATGCTCTGATACCAAGATGATGTGAAATGACCAGGAATTGTAAGGAAACAATAAAATTATTGTAAGCCCGCTTCTTTAAGATTAATGAACCACCTAAAATAATTTAAGAAATTTCCGTTGAGGTTTTTCTCTGGCATGTAATTACACTTGTAGGAGAACAGATCAATTTAAAACAATATCAAAAAATACGATAAAGCTAGATGTACTCATAATAATAATCCACAGGTTAATATCAAGAGCTTTCACCTAGAGTTTCCTTCCTCACTCGCGCTCTATGAGGGCTTTAGCGGAGAAAGATCTTCAGCAAACCAAACAATGCCACGACGACGATTACGACGCTGACAGTCTTGATCCACAGGAGAGTAGCCGGAGAAGGAGGCGCAGGTGGACGTCTGACGAGTTGCCACTATCCGGATGGTCGTCGTTCGTCGATCGTCTCGGTGAAATAAATGAGTATGCGATCTACGTAGTCTTCGACGAAATCTTTAAATTCCCAATCAGGGTCAAAGAAGGGTGATTGAAGGATGTCGAATTGTCCTTGAGAGTTGTATGCAAATCCATGGTCGACTTCAGGATCGACCATCCAAGAATATGGGGGTCTTCTTTATTGCGCACCTTGGATTTGTTGAAGGCCGGCGGCTGATGCAAGAGGGAGAGAGGAGTGGGGAGCCGGCGGTTTGGGTGGGTTCGTCAAAAGAAAGGGACAGGTAGGGTTAGGGAGGGGTTTGGGTTTTTAGAATAATTACCAAGGAAGGTAATTAATCTATAGGATTAATGAGAGTGGAGGGAAATTAGGATTCTAATTTGAATCCTAAATTAGAGAAAGAGAGAGGGTGGGCCGGCGGCATGTATGGGGGAAAGAGGAGATTGGGGAGGGAACTAAATGCTTCCTAATTCATTATCTTAAATTAGGAATCAAATAATGGGATCAATTCTAATTTAAAATTAAATTAGACTTTGATTTAGTCACTTTCCTTATTTAGATAGGTTAATTTGGGAAAGTATTTAAAAATTCAAATTTGAATTTCAAATAGGATTAAAGTCTTTCCCAAATTGACTTAGCTATTTTAGGCAATCAATTATGATGATTGAAATCAGCATCAAGAGAATCCAAGGAAGGGGGCGGCGGCTAGGGCTTGGGTTGGTGAAGGAGGGTCGGTTTAGGATGGGTAGGCCGACACTATGGTGGGGTAGGGAGAAGGGACGACGGGTGAGGGGGAGGGGTGGTTGGTTGGTGGGCGGCGGGTGGAGTCAAGGAAGGGGATGGTCGGCGGCTTGGCCCAAAGGGTGGATATGGCCGGCGGTTTGAAGCAAGGGAGAAGTCGGACCATGAGCCCGGAGCACCTCCGCGATTGGTGGGTATTGCTTTACCCACACTTGGGACTTCACCACTCAAGAACTCACAAACTCGAGAGAAAGAAATTCTAAAATATTAAGCAATCATTAAAAAATAATAATACAAAGACTAGGGCCGCTATATATAGGCCTCAACAACGAAGAAAACTCAAAGGCACATATGCCCTCAGGGCTACAACTCACTAAACTCCCTCATAGGTGTACAAAGTTGAACTAAAACAAAAATGAAAATAATACTAATACAATAACATAAAATAACTCATAAATAGATGCTCCTGATCGTGGTCGTCGATCTGCAATATCTCCTGTGATAGACGCGCTGGGTATGACTCTTACTTGCATAGCATAGTTTAAATCATAAACTATCAATCTTCTTTGCTTTCTCTTCAACCCATTTAGTTTCCTAAATGCATAGAATATTTATCTTCCTTTGAATCATAATATCTATTAATTCCATTAATTTATATATAAGAGAATCTGAATTCCAAGTTCCTATCTTAATCATGTAAAAATGAGTGATACTGAAAAATTCCTAATGAATTAATTTCTTAAATGATTTTTGTTAATCTAAGTTGTATTTGGATTGGAATTAAGAGTGATTGTGATGATGTGGCCAAGGTATATAAGTTTTCTCTATATTATATGGGTTGCATTAGTTGTCTTATAATGTGCAACATCTCCCTCTCCCCCTGCATTACTCTTTACGTGGTTGTCATCAATGCTTGAACCGTTACCTCTCCACGAATTTAGCTGTTGCTCCAGTGATTGCCGTCTTGCTCTCACACAACACTTTAATGAGGATGAGAGTGATGAGGCACAATGCAAGATAGTTCGTGATCTTACATGCGCCTACTTTATTGCTAATTTTTTTAGATACTTACAAGACTTATTTGACACTTCAAAAAATTGTATAGGCTTTTTATCCATATTTGAGCAGTTATAAATTCTTAAATACTAAAAAATAGTGAACAATTCCTTAAGTGGAAAAGATTTCATTGAATATATTCCTTCCATTCAAAGATTTTATTGAATTAAAAAAAAATGATGAAAGGAATATATGATCAATTATTTTATCATGCTGCATTATTGCTGTCGTGCTGCTTGCAATCCAAGTGGATTTTGCATGCTTGGCATATTATTTTTTTCCGTACTTTCAAATAAGAGCCATGAAAGTTCTTTTATTGGTGTAAGGCTCTATTATATTCTATTTTTGAAAATATACACACATAGATACAATATATATACTATGTGCGTTTTTGTTTTGTTGTGTGACAGCATATTTGTCTGTATATATGCGAACCCCAATTTGTTGCTATGTGATATATATTAATGATAATTTGTTACAAGATTTAATTTTCTTTAACCTAATCTTTTCAATAAAATAACTACTTTAGCCTAATCTTCATATTAATTGGCTCAGGTTGTCATCACCAAATGCTATCATTTATTCTGTAGCCAGTGTATTCGCAGGATTGCTGAAAGTCGTCATCGTAAGTGTCCTATTTGCTCGGCAAGCTTTGGGCGGAATGATATAAAGTCTGTCTATTTATGATACTGAACATCTTATAGATTACACAAAAGAGCTTAGGTTGGAATTACAGCAGCCTCGCATACCTGTGAGAACTGCTGGGTACCAAAAATCCTTTTGCTCTCGCCAAAGCTTGACTGGTAGAGAATTTGTCTCATACATTGCATCAAAGAGTGGCCTATACACTGGAGCTTAACAAAACCTCATTGATTAGGATAAATGGTTTCGGTATAAAGTATACTTTTATTTTTTTGGGGGAGCGGTCGATCGATGACCATGTAAAATTTTGATTGTTTTTCATTCTCTTCCTAACATTTGATAGAATTTGAAATTGGGTCAACTATTCTATGATTTGTATTGTTCGATTTGCTTTCGTTTGCACCTCTATAGCTCTTCTAAAGTGAAAATTATTAGGTGCGGAGACCGGACATATCTCTACGTCCGGACATCTACTTAAAATTTGACACATGGAGTGCACTTTGGTTGCTTTTTTTTGTGCGCTTTATCCACACTTTACCTGCATTTTAGTTGTGTTTTGACTGGCCTTTTGTTGCGCTTTTTTTACTGCACTTTGACTGTGCTTTACTTGCGCTTTGACTGCGCTTTTAGTGCGCTAGGCTTAAAAGTTCTGCGGACACATTAAATATATAAAGTAAAAAATAAATCCAACGTGTCTACTTCATTTGTCAAATTTTAAGTGGATGTCCAAATGTATCTCTACGTCCGGTGTTTGCACCTAATAATTTTCCCTTCTTAAGGTGTGTTTTTTTTTATGTTTAATTGTATTGTATTGCTTGACTAACTCGCTCTCTTTTGCATTGTGAAATCACTGTCTTTTCTTCACCTATACAAGAGGATGAGAGCATTGAGGTAAAGTGCAAGATATCCTGTCATGGTCTACCACGAATTACTAACTTTGTTGGGTACTTATGAGTCTAATTTAACCACTACAAAAATAGTACAAGAATTAGGATGGGAATCCCAACTTCATAGACTACATAGATCCATTAATCTGGTTTTAGTCTATATGTAAATGCTTCATCGCTGCAATTGGACTACATTGGAAAACCAAATTGATCTGGCATCGCACTTTGTTCTTGTTATGCCACTATGCATTTTCATGAATTTTTTATAATAACTTGTTAGGATCAAACATCCAATAATGCATACAATAGTTGTATACTTCAATCGACACCACATGCATTTTTAAGAAGGAATTGGAGGATCATTCGCCAACCTTATTACTAAGGCTCGCAATCACAGACAAAGGAATGGAAGATCAGTCACCAGCTTTCTTTTAAATACAGCTCGCCATCATTACAGTAAAAAAATTCATCTGCTTTAATTTAAACTTCTTTTGTATTTGATCGATCATCTTCGCCAACAAGGTGTAATCTTCCTATTGCACCCTTAATCTTCCTCTCAAATTAGTATATATAGCCAAATAAAGTTGAAAAAATGGCTATCGGTATCAACAATAAAAAAATCTTATTGAAGGTGTTAGAGATAGTTGTCATTGATAAGATCTATATTTAGACTTGATATATCATCAAAAAATTAGCTGGATCAGGCACTAATCTCAAGGTACAATTAAGTTGGAAATTTCAAAAATTAAATATGAGATCATCTAAAGTTTGATTTCAACTTATAGTTGAACTGAACATCTTGAAAATACAAATCCAACGACACCAAATTCGACCCAATCCGAGTTCAAATGGATCCAAATCAAAGACACGAAGCACATTTGGAAGGTTCAAGCCATAATTTGGATTATGAAACAGTTTTCAAACGTGGCATGCTTATAATTGAATTGAGCGGCTAGACGAGATGAATCCAACGAGCCCAAGATTGTCAAATTCTGATATCTTTTACACATTCAAATGCCTAGTAAATGATCCTCGATAAGGGATTCAACATCGGTCGTCCATTCAAATCATTCCCAATTTATCATTGATCTTTCTCTTATTTATTGGTCATGTCATTCTTAGAAAATTATAGATATATCATTCATTTCTCATTAAAGGGGATCCAAGCAATAAGAGGAGAAGTAAACGAATAAATAAAAAGAGAAGGAAGAGAACTCTTTTGCCGCCAGACTCCTCCTCGACCACTATCAGACTTCCCCCAGCAGCCGACCGACGCCAGAGTTTTGCCCGACAGCCGACTGACGTTGGATTTCTGCCCGACCGTCAATTGAAGCCGGATTTTTGCCCGATCACCAAATGTCGTCAAAGTTTCAATCTCCATTTGTAACTGAATTTCAACATGGGAGTTAATTATTGTAATATGATCGTCCTCAATTTTAGTGATGGGTCAGCCACTTGTAATATGAGCAAACACTAGTGGAATCCTTTTAAATGAGCGTTGCCCCGTGATTTTTTTCTTTTCCAAGGTTTCCATGTAAAAATCATAGTGTTACATTTTTTCTTCTATTTATATGCTAGATATACGTACAATGTTGAAACGCTGAAATAAAAATTTTCTAATGACATTTGGTTTAATTCTTTATGAATCCTGCTTAAAACTTGCTAAAAGCATAAATAAACTAGTTTAGGGATAAAATATCGTTTGGTTTACTCTTAAATTTAATGGTTATTCTGTCAACCCAAATAATAAAAATTCAAAATATTCGTTTCCCTCTTATTTTTTATTAAATTAATAAATTTTCTATTACCGTACCAAATAAAAATAATATTTTATACCAATCTAATGACTAGAAACGTTAGGCAGCAGAATTTTAATGTGCGTAATAGTCGCTTCAGACCATATACATAATATATAATATTATTTTTTTAATTAATTTTTTAAAAAATAAACTCTATATAGCTCATTAATACAAGCAGGTGATTAAGAATTTCATTTTCATGTTATATAATTTCAATCTCACAATTTATTTTGAAAAAAATATATATATTTTTTGAAGCATAACACAATAGTTTTGCTTACTGGTAACAAAATTTATATAATTTTTAGTCGATAAGATAAGATAAATTGAAAACTAATCGAGAAATATTATTATTCTTATTGCATCGATTTAAAGCTAAGCAATCTGCACATTCTTGTTATTTCCCTTCTCCTCATCCAATTCTACAAACCTCTTCCAAAACCAATGGTCTTCCCACACCTTCCCCATCTCCTCCAACGGCAACTCCTTCGTCTCCGGCAAAAACCAAAACACAAACAAGCTCATCAACACCACAAATCCTCCAAACAAGAAAAAAACACCAAATTTCATGTAACAGAGAATGGAAAGCATGCTCTGCGCAATCCAAGCTCCGAAAAAGAAGTCCGAAGCGACAAAAATACTCTGCCCCGTCGATCTGATCTCCAGCGGAAAAATCTCACTCGCCACAAGCCATGGCAACAGCCCCCACGACCAAGAAAAACCAGCCACATAGATGCAGAGAAGGGCCAACACGAGGTAGGCATAGCCGTCTTCCATTGCGCCCTGATCTCCCAATTTCAATGCCATTATTCCTCCCACCATCACCAACGCTACAATCATGAGCGTGCCGCCGAGGAGGAAGAATTTCCGGCGCCCGAGCTTATCCACCACCGCCATGGTCGCCAGAGTGCATATCGTAGCTGTAAGCCTTGTCATCCCCGCTGACATAAGTGAGGCGCTTTCCTTGAACCCGATGGTCCGGAACATCACCGGCGCGTAGAAAGTTATGAAATTTATTCCGGTGAATTGACGGAAAGCAGGGAGAAGGAAAGCCATGACGATGTGGGGACGGTAGTTTCGTCGAAGTAGTCTGCGTAGGGGATGTTCTGATGCCCCGCAGGAGGCGTCGGCGGCTGCGGAAATCAGGCTGTTGAGTTCGTCGTGGACGTCGTCGGTGCCGCGGATCTTTTGCAGAATACGGGAGGCTTTCTGTGAATCTCCATTTCGATGGATTATGCAGCTTGGGGTTTCAGGGAGGAAGAGAGCGCCGATGAGGAGGAGGGAGGCGGGGAGGGCGGCCAGGGCGAGGGAGAGTCTCCATCCCCAACCGGCCTTGATCTTTTCTGTGCCGTAGTTTATGAGATTTGCTGCTAGGAGTCCGATGCTGATGCAGATTTCGAAGAAACCGTTCATGGCTCCTCTGTACTTCGGCGGGGCCATCTCTGAGATGTATAAAGGGATGCTCTGCAAGAAGAACATTTCTGTCTTTAGTTTCATTAATAATTAAACGTAATATTTGTTAAATCTCATCATCAATAAAACTTAACAAATCTTACAATTTTTCTTTTTATAGATCTTAAATTCTAAACTAAATATAGTCAAATAATTTATCAAAAGTCAACAAAATTGAAAAATTATCATGCAAAAAAAAATTTAAATTTTAATCCTGTAAAGACTTTAATCAATCTAAGTTTACAGGATTCACTACATCCTACTTATCCGTAGCCAAGAAGCCCCTTCAACGTAAACTGTAGCCTGACCTGGTTGGTAAAGCCGATGCTAGCCCCAAAAAGTATCCGGCCAAGGATAACAGTTAACAGGTTGAAGCCAGCGCCACTGAGTCCTGCTCCGGCAAGAAACAACACAGCTCCGAAGAGCATGGAGGGCCTCCGGCCGAACCTCTTAGTCACCGGCGAAGCCAGCAGAGAAGCAAAGAACCCCGATATGTAAAGTGACGATGTGAAAGCCATCAGCAACTGGCTATCAAACTTACAGTAGTTGCTAACATTTCTATCATTCTTCATCTTCGCAAGAATTTCGGGGAAGAATTTGCTCAGAAAAGAATCCATGGAAGTGACACCGCCTGAACGCGCCGCCGAATTATTATCTTTTGAGTTTAATTGCGATAAACACGAATGCAAAAAAACAGAGCTTTATGGAGAAGAAGAATTAATTAACCAGAGATGCCGAGGTCGTAGCCGAAGAGGAGTCCACCGGAGCCGGCAACCATGCAGGTGAGGACCACGAAGAGCGTGATCCTCGGTTCTTTGTCGGCGGCAGCGTTCTGTAGCTTGGCTGCCATAGCTGCGCTCGTTCCTGGCTTGGGAGTAAATGAAGACCAGCTGCCTTATATAGTGAGTTTTTAAGTCCCAACGAATTTTGTATTATTATGATTCATTTCTTCTTGTTATTTCTCTCTCGTCCCTATTTGCCTTGACGAATGACTCATTTGACACAATGATCATTAACCTAGGATAAATTATTCATTTCAGACACCGGATGAGGGGTGCAACCGAGTCAAGCCGGTTCGAGCTCGACTCGTTAACGGGCTCAACCAGTCGAGCTTTTCGAGCTCGAGAGTCGAGCTAAAACACGAGTTCGAGCTCGATGGCTAATCGAGCTCGAACACTTGGCTGCTCGACTCGATAGCTCGTCGAGTTGCTCACATAAGAGGAGCAGGATTCGCCACTTCGCCGCGAGAGCGGGTCGCAGTTTCTAAGTCGCGACAATGGGCTTTGCCGCGATAGCGGGTCGCTAGCTGCAACGGGCTTCACCGCGAGAGCGAGAGCGGGAGCGGGATTCGTCACGAGAGCAGGAGCGGACTTCGTCGCTAGAGCAGAGCAAGACGAGCCGCTCGACTTGACTAGTTTCGTGAGACGAGTTGAGCTCGAGCTCATTTTTCGAGTTCGACTAAAGCTCGAGCTCGAGCTTGGTATTTGGCAGCCGAGCTCAACTCGAACACCTCTTGGCTCGAGCTCGAGCTCGACTCGTTTGCACCTGTACACCAAACTGTTCGGAGACGAATAAGAATGTGTCACATCACCCGGTACCGAGTGGCATCACCCTGTACCGAGTGGCACCAAGCACCTGTACCAAGCAAAAAAAATGACGTGGAGCGTTCTGATTGGTCTCAGAACATCGTTCGGGGTCCGCGCAGATTTATATTTCAAAGTTGGGGAGGTAGAAAAGAAAATAAAGATTTGAGGAGTATTTCATTATTCTTATATTCTTCCCTAATATCTCTAAAGAGACTGGTTATAGAAAAACAAAAACTACTAATGGCTCAAAGATATTAAATACATAATTATACTAACTCAAATCAAATATCTATTACATTTATTGAACTATAACATATGGAGCCTATTCCAAATATCTAATTATATAACAGCCCTAGAGTGATAGAGCTTGACCAAGTCAATCCCAAAAGCCCTAGGTCTCTTGCTATAATCCATTTAAAAAAAAAAAATGGAGGTTATTATTGAGGCCATATATCCCATAAAGAATAATGCTTGGAGGCTTCGCTTATAATATATTTCGATTCTTATTCTATCTCTTCTTTTGTTACCTTTATTTCATTCTCTCCTCATCCAATCTTTAGTTGTCTTTACTCTATGTGGCTTGTAGGAAAATCTTTTTTTATAGCAAATTTTTTCTTCTACTTTTGAGATTTTACTACTAAAAATAAAATGTTAAATTTATCTCAAGCTTGTTAGAGCAAGGCCTAATTATATTGACCACAGTATGCAAATAATTTTTTGCAATCTTGATTTTGATATGTACTTCTGATTTGTTCATTGTTTTGCTATATGATTATTAATTAGCTATTTACTTATGATATGTTCTCTAATTTTGTTGGTGTTAATGATTCATAAATGATCTTTAAACTACTTATGAGTTTTTTATTCTCACACAATCTTTGCAGACGATCTGAATTGGTACTTGGCAATCACAGATGTATTCTTATTGTAGGTTGCAAAGCCTTAGAATGATTCAGTATATATCAAATTACTACCGCACGTCTAACATTTCCAAGTGATCCTCATGATATTTTGGCATGCAATGGTAAGTATGAATGTATATATAAAGAATAATCAATTTTATCAGACTATTTGGGATTAATAGATATTGTTGGATCTAGATTTGTTCATGAATGATACTCAAAGTAAATTCTAAGATGAGTGATATGCCGCTAATGTGAAAATGATGAGAAAGAGAGATGCTTGAGAAAAGGTGTAATATTAGCTTTAGCGGGTTGGCAATTGACAGAATCAACTACAGTTGCCTTTGATTTTTTTATTCTCCTTCTCCTTCCTATAAAAAGACCTTGCTATGGATAATGAAAGCCCAGTCTAAATTATTTTTAATTAAAAGAGGTTGTGCGCATAAATTACGTAGCTGTAAGCAACTGGCAAAAACAAAGGCTTTGTAGCGCCTGAGACCATTTGCAACGAATGAAATAAAAAAAAAAAATTCTAATGCCAACATATATTCTCATAATTTGATTCTACAATATTCGTGTAAAAGACCTACAACTTATGAAGAATAATAAACCTTACAAATAACATAAAGGTGATTGCACTACTACTATTTTAATAGCAGGCCAGTATATAAGTGATTGGAGTTGTGTTTGTACCGGACAACAAGCAAAATAAAATTAAAACTTGAATTGTAAATCTTGTCAATACGGAAGGTTTAAAAACTTCATTCGCTTACCTCCAGCCAAGAACCTCCTCATTCTTTGTTTATATACAAAAAAAAAAAACTTAGCAAGATCTCAAGGTCGATAAAGAATGAGATTTTCAAGATCAAGAGGTGGCCTTTCAACAACGTTCAAACTCCCACCTTCCCTTTCACGGTGTACCTCGTGAAAATGAATCTGAAGAAAGTGAGAACCAACTAAGGCTTCGTTTGGGACGGCTTTTTTACTTCTTTCTAAAACAGAGTTTTAGTACAAAATTTTTTATTTTTATACTAAAACTCCGTTTTAGAAAGCAATAGAAAAACCGTCCCAAACGAAGCCTAAGTGACAATCTTGCTAAAAAAATTTAGATTCCACATATTTCTATCATCTAGCATTTAAAAAATTTTCAATTCTATTGCCCTCTACCTTTATCGCATTTGCATGCAAACACCAAAGTATACCACCTCTCTTCCTATTTCAAAAAAAAAAAAAAGAAAAAAAAAGCTACTAGAGAAATCTACACTCAATGCTCACCTCTAGTGCTACAACACATATTAAAATAGCTGAAGTTCAACTATGAAAATATGTTCAAATTTCTCCTTCAATAACATCCATTAAAGACATTTACAAAGAATTCTGACAATGACATCAATATCCAATGTTGGAAATGAAAATGCTGCTTCTTCTGGTGACAATATTATTTCCTCTGATTTTGTGGCTTGTAACGTTGTTGGCTCCATGGCCACTTTGGTTTCTGATATGGCTGTGGATTGTGATGTAATTGGTAACGTTTCAGTTGGTTTAATATGTAAATTGAATGGTATGGAGAAGAGAATTTCATTGATGCATGTGTCATAATGCTATATTTTAAGAGGGCTTTGGAATATTTAAGGACTTATAATTTTGTTCTGGTATTAATGCGTAGACCTATTCCATGAGGTTTTATCAAAAAAAAAAAAAAAAACTGAATCTACAAAATTAATTGAATAATATTACTATCAACTAAATTCGTTTATAGAATAGTATAAATGATAGAAATTTTTATTTTTATTTTCAATTATAAGGTCATCAAAATTTTATTAATTTTTTATTTTTATCTTAGAACCCAACAACTAGAAGAGTTAATAAAATTTTTCCATCATAGTGGCCCGTTCAACTAACGACTACGTCTATTTTATAACTTTTTTAACATGTTTTATTGCAATATTTACTAATGATACCTGCACTTGCCTTCACGAATATTCTATTTATTTAAAGAAAATCAAACTGTTATTTTTCAACAATATAAAAAAAATATATAAAATAACCTGAAAAGTTTGTAAGCATTATTCAATTGATCAATCATACTTAAATATGAAATTTTATCTTAAATTATACTATTCGTTTTGTTTTTTTTAATATTAATGTATTTATATAATATGTTTGTCCACCTTCCAAAAAAAAAACTATGCTCTTGAGCTCTTCTTTCTTGGGGGAGTTTTGTTAACTAAATGAAAATAGAATTTACAAATATAATTCAATTAAAATTAAGGCTTCATTTTCACATATTTTTTATTGATTTTTAAATTAATTTCCTACTATAAAATTTTTAATTTAAAAAAAAATTATCTCAAATAAAACCTAAATATATGAAGCAATGATTTATGTCGAACTACATTTAATTTCATATTGAAACTTCTGTTTATCAATCATCTCAAATGCTGGATTACATAATTTCTCTTTTTTTGAATTTATTAATTGATAGTTAAAACTCCTAATAATTAACCGATCAAGATGAGCTGTGTGAATTAATCGGTTCCTTGATCATATCCTCTACCTTATTTGTAGTGACAAATTTCTTCCAATACCAATGATCGATCCACACGCGACCCATCTGCTCCATCGGCACTCCTTTCGTCTCCGGCACAAACCAGTAAGCAAAAACCGTCATCACCATTACGCCTCCGGCGAACAATAAGAAGAGGCCCGCCTTCAGTCCGCAGAGCACTGCAAGCAGGCTTTGCGCCACCGCAAATGCCATCAAGAAATTAACGGAAACCTGAATGCTCTGCCCCGCCGACCGTATTTCCAGCGGAAATATTTCGCTCGTCACCAGCCACGCCATCGGTCCCCACGACCAACCGAACGCCGCCACGAACACGCACACCAACGCCACCACCACGTACGCATTCTCCTTGCTCATCGTTCCGTGGTCGGGCATTTCCGACATCAGCACAGCGCCGAGAGTCACGTGCGCTCCCACCATCGCCACCCCGCCTGTGCAATGGTTAGTTCGAAATTGCTCAGCTTAACGAAATGAAAAACACTTGAGCTAGCTAGCTGAGCGGAGGTTCAGCTCGTTTAATTTCTCCCGTACCTGTGATAAACAGAACCCGCCTGCCCACTCTGTCCGCCAAGACCAACGTCGCCGTTAGCGTGCAGAGCAAGTTGATGACCCTGGTGATAACTGCAGACATGAGTGCCGCGCTTTCCTTCTGCCCGATTGTGCGGAACATAACGGGAGCGTAGAAGTTGACCGCGTTGATGCCGGTGACTTGAAGGAATAGAGGGAGGGCTATGGCCATCACGATGTGTGGGCGGTAATTTCGTTGAAAGAGTAGGAAAAATGGGTGTTTGGCGGAGACGGCTTTGGAGGCTTCGGTTGTGGCGGTGATGAGGTCTTCGAATTCCTCGCTCACATCGACGGAGGAGCCGCGGATCTTTTGGAGGAGAATTCGGGCGTGATGGAGATCGCCGCCGCGTTGGATAATGCTGCTGGGTGTCTCCGGTAGGAAGATGGAGCCGACGAGTAGGAAAGTGGCGGGGATGGCGGCGGAGGAAAGTGAGACTCGCCAACCCCAACCGGCTTTGATCTTTTGAGTGGCGTAGTTGATGAGGTTTGCGATAAGGATGCCGAAGCTTATGCAGGAGTCGAATCCGCCGGAAATGGCTCCTCGATGACGAGGAGGGGCCATTTCTGAGAGGTACAGTGGAATTGACTGAAACCACGTTGTATGCGAGAAATTAGTTTAACCAGGATTTGGCATATCCATGCCCCTCTCTTCCACCATTTATTTTTTTAATTTCCTCAAAATATCAAACTTTTTGATAAAATTCTAACTCATTCTTTTTTTCTTTTTTCAAATTCACAACGATTTAAGGCTTTGTTTGTTTGAGCATTTTTTTACCTTTTTTGTTTTTGGAAACGGAGGAATTTTTTTTTGTGTTGTTTGGTTCGTCAAATCACGTTCTCAATAACTCTTTTTTTTTTCATTTTTCTGCAGTTTTGAGAAAACTTTTTATATATGCTTCTCCGTTACAAAACTCCTTTTTCTAAACTAATGTTTTTTAAAACTGTCTTTTACAAAAACACTAAAAAAACAAACGAAGCCTAAGTAGGAGACGTGTAAATATATAAGTTCAATGGTTAGAAAAAATGGTATATAAGTGCTAATTTTATAAATAAATATAATTTATGTTGTATTAATGTAATTCTCTCAAAATAATTTTAAATATTAAACAAAATTAAATATTTTGTAAGAGTTAAATCTATTTTATATGTAAGAATATAGTAAGTATAATATAGTTAAGAAAGAAGTCATTTAATCAAAATTTTGGATTAAAAATATTTAAAATATCAGAATAAATCTATAATTTCAAGAGCTTGAGTGCATTACAAGGAATTTCACCTTTCTTCTTTGATCTCTTACCTTTTGGTGCTTAATTGTTGTTGATGTATTTGTTCTTGTAAGATGACGAAGAATGATTCTTTATTTACTTAAATTTAAACAAAATTGTTTATAGAAACTCAATGAGCTTAGATGCATAGAAAATTATTAGAGCAATCTTAACCCATTGAATCTTTCCCTTTAAAAAGTTATCATAATCATGTATTTCCTCTATGTTAGGTAGTAGCTATCAAGGTGGTTGCATAGCTAAAGCAGATCTTGTATTATTGGCCACTAAATCCCTCTATATATACTTGTCATCTGTATTTGATTAAAAAACGAAATACATTCTCTATTCTTTCCTTTCTCTGTTCAAGATCTACTTCTCTCTTTCTTCATGGTATCAGAAGCGGTGATCGATCCACGCTCATGGCCAACTCCATCTCTTCTCATCTAGATGAACATATTGATTCCTCTTCTTCGGAAGACACATCTATTCCCTCGACGCTCAAGTTCGTAGTCTCTAATCTCAAAATTTTTGTCATGGTTCCTCTTACAACTGACAATTACGTCTTGTGGTGATCTAAGATCGCGAAAATTTTCAAAGCAAATGGATTTGAAAATTTTCTTGATCTTACCTGCAATCCTCCTTCAAGACATCTACAACAATCGAACGGACCTTCTATTCCTAATCCCTTACACACGCAATGGATTCTTATTGATCAAAATCTTTATGCGGCTATTTGCTCCACCATTTCGGCGACGGTGCTACCATACGTGGTAAATCTTGAATCTACCGTAGAAATCTGATTCACTCTTGAAATAAGATTTCAATCAACAAATCGCTCCAAAGTCATTCAACTTAAGAATGAACTCCACAATATCTCCCTCAAGAATTCCACAATGACACAATACTTGTCTGAAAACAAAGCTTTAGTTGATCAAATCTCGCGGTGGGATCGTCGGTAGACACGGAAGACATAAACTTGTTTATACTCAAAGGTCTGACAAATACATATCAATCGTTCAAGATCGCTATTAGAACCATGCTAATGTCGATCTCTCTTGACTAACTCTACCCCCTATTACTGAGCTAAGAAATAAATCTTGCCTTCGATAACACCTTTGTCTCTTCCCCAAATGATCCATCCACAACTCTGGTCTCGTATAGAGGTCGCGGACATCGCAACAGAGTTCGAAACTATGCGAATCAGACAAATACTCCTCGTCCACCCGTTCAATCCATCACTTGCTAAATCTGCTACAAAAGGGGACATTTTGCTCAAGCTTGTTGGCACAGACTCAATCTGTAATATGCTTTGTGAGATTTGAACCGGCCGGTTCAAAAATAACCGGACCGGTTGACCGGTTCAGTCCGGTTCTTTGCAGAAGCGGTTTTAGTGCTGAACCGGACCGGCCTTGTGACTGGTTCACGGTTGAACCGGTCGAACCGGCCGGTCCGGTCCGGTTTTTAAAGCACTGGTAATATGTGCCTTCATTCAAGAATGACCATAACATTGCCCTGGTCGCAAGCTCGGAAAATTTTCCAAACAAATTGGTATTTGGATTTGGGCGCTTCGTCACATCTCACGAATTCCCTTAAAAATTTATCTGTTTCGGCTCCTTATCAAGGCCAGAGCTCAATAACGGTTGGCGATGGTCGATTAGTCAATATAGCACACTCAGGTTCGGAGTTGTTACTAACCCCATCTCGAAAGCTTTACTTATCTCACATTCTTCATACATCATCTCTTCAATACAATTTATTATCTATTTAATTTTAATATCATTTCTCATTGTAATCCTAGCTTACATATAGATAAACTTTTCTTTTCTTGCAAATCTTGTAAAGAGGCTAAAGGACATAAACTTTTTTTTGATAAGTTTGAACATCATCACAAATCTCTTCTTTCTTTAATTCACGATGATGTCTAGGGTCCAGCTCCGGCTATATCTACTCAAGGTTACAAGTACTATGTAATTTTTGTAGATGATTTTTCTTGATTTACCTGGATTTTTCCTTTGCGCCACAAAGTTGAACTTACTAATATTTTCATTCAATTCAAAACTAATATTGAAAAGTATACTTCTCATCACATCAAAATGCTTCACACCGACGGTGGTGCGAAATATAAGAATCACTCGCTAACTCAGTTCCTTAGGACTCATGGCATCTCTCATCAGGTTTCATGTCTTTACATGCCTAAGCAAAATGATGTTGCTAAACATAAACACATACATATCATTGAGACTGTCAGATCTTTGTTGGTCACTTCCTCTGTCCCATATAGATACTGGCCTAATGCTGTCTTGACCTTCATTTACTTTATTAATAGAATGCCCTCCCCTACTACGAACAATGTCTCTCCGTATAAACTCTTACATGGCATAATTAAAACATGAGTATAATCACCTTCGTATATTTGGTTGTAAATGTTTTCCTTTAACCTCATCTCATTCTAGACACAAACTTCAACCAAAAGCCAAATCGTGTGTCTTTCTTGGATATTCTTATATTCACAAAGGATATAAATGTTTGAATATATCCACAAACAAAATTTTTATATCTCGGCATACTACTTTTCATGAGCACTATTTCCCGTTCTTCAATACCTCCTCACCAATTCCAAATCAAACTACTGCTGTTCCACCCTCTTTTTTAACACATGTTTCCAATCAACCAGTTCTCACTCAGCATATTCCTATACTTATTAGAACTCAAGAGCATATTGAACATGTTCTTCCTCCTCATTTTAATCCTACCATATCTTCTTCTCATGTTCTCACTCAAGCCGAGATATCTCAATTACCATATAATCCTCTCCTACCGTCTCACCCCATGATTACTAGGAAAAAGACAAGTTCTTTAAAATGTGTTACCAGATTAAATCTACCTCATCGTCAAACTAATCATGATTATATTCCCGACCCGACATCTTACATGGAAGCTGTTAAACATCGTGAATGGCATCAAGCCATGTCAAATGAGTTCCTTGCTCTCCAAAAGCCAAGAACATGGAGTCTCGTCAAGCCACGATCTGACTCATCTATTTTGGGTTGCATGTGGACATATCGCACAAAAATTCACGCCGATTGATCGGTTGCCACTCACAAAGCGCTTCTTGTAGCATAGGGCAATCATCAAGAATATGGCATTGATTACTCAGAGACATTCAACCCAGTTGTGAAATTGCCTACAATTCATATTCTTTTAACTATCGCTCTATACAATAACTGGCAAGTTTAGCAATAGGATGTTGCAAATGCTTTCCTACATGGCATCATTTCTGAGACAGTTTATATGAAACAATCGAAAGGATTTGAAGATTCATCTCATCCTGAATACGTCTGTTGTCTCCACAAAGTTCTCTACAGCTTTAAACAAGCTCCAAGATAGTGGTTCAACACATTTACATCATACTTGGTATCATTGGGGTTCATGTATAGTCAAACTGATCAATCTCTCCTAATCTGTTCAATCAAACACTCAAATATTCTTACTCATATATGTTGACGATATCCTAATAACTGGCAACAACCAAGATGCAATCACTGAAATCTTGGCTCAAATAAACAAGAAGTTCATGATGAAGCATGTGGGTGAGGCTAACAAATTTCTTGGTATTAATATAGCTTACGACAAGAAGCAATACTTTCTGTCACAATAGAAATATGTTCTACATATTCTACAACATGCAAATCTCATGAATTGCAATTCTTTATCCAACCCGACATGTACAAAGCTTTCCGTCACATTCAAGGAAGAGTCTACGCTTACCAATCCTACTACTTACAGATGAATTATAGGATCTCTCCAATATTTAATGCTTACTCGTCTGGATATTGCCTACAGCGTCAACTTACTATCTCAGCATATGAACTCAAAAGACTTCTACGTTACATCAAAGGTATGCTTGACTATGATATATCGATCACTAAAACTAATCTTGTCCTTCAATCCTTTTTAGATGTCAATTGGGCTGGCGATCCTATATCTAGCAAATCAACTTTGGGGTATTGTTCCTTTCTGGGGAAACACTCATCTCTTGGACTATTAAGAAGCAACACACAGTCTATAGATCTTCTACCGAATCAGAATACCGTGCCCTAGCTGCCTCAACCTCGAATATAATTTGGATTTCATGAAGACTTCTTACTGATTTTGGAATACCACAAAACTCGCCTACCGATCTCTACTGCGACAACACCTCTGCAATAGCTTTAGCCAACAATCTTGTTTTCCACGCTCGTACAAAACATATTGAAATAGATCAAAATTTTATACGGGATCACATACAAACTCAAAGCATTCGTCTTCTTCCTATCAATACAATTGATCAAGTGGCCGATATCTTCACCAAACCTCTCTCTACACCAAGATTTCATCAACTACGACTCAAACTGACAGTTACTCAAGCACCATCAATTTGCATGGGCGTATTAGAGCATACTAAATAAATACTTATGTATATCTATTTATGTTTGTAATGATGTGATAGTATAGAATAGGTTATCTTGTATTATGAGCCACTAAATCCTCTATATATACCTGCCTTCTATACCTGATTAAACAACGAAATACATTCTCTATTCAATATCTGCTTCTCTCTTTCTTCATTGACCCAAAAAAATTAGAAGGAATCTCACCTTTTTTTTCTTTGATCTCTCTTACCTTTTGGAGCTTAATTATTGTTGATGTATTTATTCTTGTAATATGACGAAGAACGATTCTTTATGTGCTTAAATTTAAACAAAATTGTTTTCATAAACTCAATGAGCTTAGATGCATAGAAAATCATTAGAGTAATCTTAATCAATAGAATCATTTTCTTTAAAAACTTGTCATAATCATGTATTTCTTCAAAGTTAGGCAGTAGCTATCAAGGAGGTTGCAAAGGTAAAGGAAGTTGCTACCATCAAAGTGCTGCCATTAAGAAAAGAGTTTACATTATGAAATACAGGGTAATATATTAGATCTTTTAGCACTCTAACAATCATTATTGATGTGTCTCCAGAATATTGACTTTACAAGCATGGATATCAAGCAAATATTTGAATTGGAAACTTTTGGATCTAAATTAAGAGCACCCAATCTCCAATTTCAATAACTTATAGTTAAATTAAATGTTTCGATGATACGAATTCATGGACACCGTAATAAATATTCTTATCTAAATTTAAATAAGCCCAAATCAAATATTTAAAGCATATTTAAAAAAAATTAATATTAATTGAAGATTCAAAAGACCACCAAATATTATGTGCTATTAGTCAAATCAAGCAGCTTAATGAGATGAATCCAACAAATGTGAGATCATTTGATTCGGATATCATTAAGACACTCAAACACTAGATAAATAATCTATACTTAAGAAAATCAATATAAATTGCTTACTAAAGTGTTTTAGATTCTCACCAAATTAACCAAAATGCCTCATTTTCTACAAGTAGGTTAGAGAGCTAAGATAGCTACATAATTATATTATATGTTTCGGTGATCACCGCCGACAGCCACCATCAATAATTGCATCCACAATCAGCAAGCTTATGCCGTCCTTTTATTGTTGTTTTATTATTAACATCTAACCATATTGTCATAGACGAATAGATAAGTGCATAAATCCTATCGGGCTACGAGTTCAATCGATGAGTTCTGATGACCGAATAGGTTGAATCTCTTAAGGTGATTTGAGATTTCGGCAAGCACTGAGTTTAATCATAACTAAAGAATTGATTAATTAAATTTTAAATTATCTTCATGACTAATTAGGTGGCTTAGGTGGCTTAAGTACGTAAATATGATTGTATTTTTATACGACTAATGACTCATATAAGACAAAATGAAACCATCTTATTTTAACCTAGCTACCAAATCTCCTCAGGTTGGCTTATTTTATTAGCGTCACTAATATTGTAATTTAGATTTAGTTTGGGACGATTTTCTTACTGCTTCTTGAAAGAGCTTTTTAATACAAAATTTTTAATTTTTGTACTAAAAAATTGTTTTAAAAAGCAGCAAGAAAATTGTCCCAAACGAAACCTTAGGCTTAGGCTTTACTTGGGATAGCTATAGATCACTAATTCTTTTCCTGTTTTTTAGAGATTTTTGTACTATAAATCATCTTTACAAAGCAGTAAAAAAGCCGTCCCAAATAAAGCCTTTGTTTGAGACAGCTTTTTTTATTACTTTCAAAAAAAAACTTTTAATGCAAAATTTTTTATTCCAAAAAATTTTATACTAAAATATTATTTGAAAAATCAATAAAAAAAAAATTGACCCAAACTAACACTTAATTAAAAAGGTATCGACAAATACTGTATAATCTTCTTAATGATTAGGAATCTAAAGTTGTGTGACGTACAAAAAATATAAATTCTTTTTTAATTATGCTTCTTTGTTTTACTTTCTGTTTTATCTGAACTTGGCAACGCTTAATTATGAAGATCCGACAAGCGGAAAAAAAAAAAAAAGCCCCATTGGTAAATCATATTTAATATTTTCAGAAACAGCAAAAATTTAAGTTTATTATTTGATTGAGCGTACTTAAAATTTTATATTAAATTTTAATTCCACTAAAATTTTTAAAATTCATAAAATGAACAAAAGAAGAATTTTTTATTCTAGAAAGATTTTTTTTTTCTATCTAGTTTGTAATTGTAAATGAAAAAAAAAACTAATTTGTGCTTACATAACACATATAATTAAAAACAGAAAACGCATTTGATAATTAAATGATTAAATATTTTCTAATTTTAAATAAAATTTTATTTGATTTGGTATATTACGTACATTATCTGAAGGTATAGCTGTGACCATTGACTAAGTTATTATTTATTATTTTTAAATCTAAAGTCATAAAATAAAACTACTTGATTCGTTAATTATACTTATCATGAGTTCCCCACACCCTCAAATAAACTTAACCCAAACAATTGGACCATTTTTTAAGCTCCCTTATATTTGAATGCTATTTTTAAAACAAAATATATTATATTTATGCATTTATTTAATTAATAGATTAGTATTTATAATGTATTTCTATGTTAACAATTTAATAATATTTACAAAACAAAATAGTAACTAAATCACTCCCATCAGAGACATTATTACGTGCGGATTGCGGATATAACTCTACGTACAAACTTCCAATTAAGTATAGACACGTGAATTTTTTTATATTCTGGCACGATGACCCGACCCTGCCTAAAATGTATATTATAAATTCTCCTTGTACATATACTATGTACAAGTTGTGCACAGTGTGTATACAAGTGGGTTGGATCGTCGGACCACGTTAGAGTTACTTGTCTTCATTTAATTAGAGTCCAGACATAAAATTATGCCGAAGACGTAATAATTTCTCTACCCATGGAGTACCGAATAAAATTAATCGTTAAATTTTTCATAAGGGATATTCTTTAGTCTTTGTTCGCTGTAAAAATTGAATCTTTGGCTTTTGAATGATAAGATGATTAGACTGACTATATTGCAACTAGCAAGATGCCAAGATCAAATATCCATAAGCCACAAATTACCTGATTGGTGAATCCGACGCCAAAACCAAGCAGGATTCTAGCCAAAATGAGCATGTAAACATTCATGGCAGCTCCACCCATCGCCGATCCGGCCAAGAACAGAGCACCTCCGATGACCATCGATGGCCGGCGGCCGTACTTCTCCGTTATCCTTGAAGCAAACAGAGATGAAAAAAGCCCTGCGATGTAAAGAGAGGAAGTGAACGCCGTCAGTGCTTGACTGTTAAACTTGCAGTAGTTTCTGACATGAATATGGTCTCTCTTCATCTTAAAATAGACGTCGGGGAAGAACTTGTTCAGAAATGAACCGGTTGCCGTTACTCCGCCTGCATATAGCAATTTATATTTACTCGGATGGAATTGAACGGAAAACTAATCGAATAAATGATCAGTTAAATGCCTGAGATGCCGAGGTCAAAGCCAAACAAGATGCCGCCGGAGGCAGCCACCACGCTAGAAAGGATAACGAAGGGGGTGATTCCACCGCCGTAGAGCACGGCGGGGGATTTGGCCGGAGGGGAAGAATACTTAGGCGAGGATAAGTCTCCTGCCATTGAAGAAATCGTGTGAACAAACTGAGCCACTAAGTTCTCAGTCGACGAGCAGATTCCCTCATTTTATCGTCGGGGTAATGAAACAAATACGGTGGACCCCGCGACCATGGAAAATTATTTTGTTGGCATAAATTTTATTTAATAATATAAATTTTTTATTTATTTCAATCTTAAATATAAATAAATTAATCAGCAAATTATTGTCATGGAGTGCCAAGAAAATATTATATTATTGATGTTATTGAGAATTCTATTAAAAGGTTTAGAATCTTTTATATTTAGCGGATTATAAAAGTCTTTATGCGATGTTTATCTTAATGATATTTAGAATGAGCTAATTAGTAGTTGGATCTTGAAATTTTCTTGTTGTAACACAAATAGACTTTGTCTTATCATTTTATACAAGTCAATGTTTAGCGCAAATAGTTTGAAATCTTTTACCTTCTTTTTCATTTAAATTTGTCACTTTCTTCTTCCATCCTCCACATATAATGTCAATCAAAGTAATATCATGATATGATTTGAAGAAAGATGGAGAGCACTATGAAGAATGAACCTCCAAGTGCCTCTTCTCAGTGAATTGAAGTAATCAAATAAAAGTTTTACTTTGAGTTTCAAGATGAGCATATTATGTACAATTAGTGGACACTCTTCGAAGGAAAGTAGAAAGAATTATAAGAAGAAGCTCATTTTCATCTTTTAAGTCTCTTGCCATTGATGAAAAGCGGTCAAGGAAATTGAGACATACATTCCTTAGTTGATGGATGAATTCCCTTATATTATTGTTATAGTGTTTCTAATAAAGCATAAATGACAGACCCCCTAACCATGAAAAATTAAATTAAGGCATAATATTGATTTTTTATATACATTTCAGCAATTACAAACTATCGCGAAAATTTCATAAAGGGCCAATGATGATTGTCAGGGAGTAAAGGGCCGACGGCGATAATCAAGAGGCAAAGGGCCAACAGTAGCGATGAAGTAAAGGGCCAATGACAGCAGCGGTCAGGTTGCATTCAATTGAAGGTGGAAGGTATCAATGCTGATGGGGGTAGGCATCGGACAACCCAATTGAGGGTGGATGGTTGGTGTGTCAATAATGGCGGTCAGGTGATGGTCATCAGGGGTTAAAGTGCTAATGATGATGGTTGAGAGGCAAAGGGTCAATAGTGGCGATCATTTAAAGGGCCAATGATAGTGGTGGTGAGGTTGAGAGAGATGTTTCAAAGTCTTGATTATTATAGAATATGTTATGAGAAATCTACTTAGAATATATGACATATACAAGGTTATTTATCAGAGTATCACATAATGATGTTAACCAGCATGGAAGGTTGATAAAATCTACTAATGATGCTTGACTTATCTAAGGTTAATTATCAGCGCATTGCTCAATGATGTTAATCTGCATATGAGAGGTCAAGAGAAATTCACCAAGTATATTTGAACTATCCAAGGTTATTTGTCAAAACATTGATTTATGACATTAACATGTGTGGAAGAGGATGATGAGATAGATCCATCAAATATGTTTAACATATCTGAAGTTATTTGCCAAAGCATTGCTTTATAGCGTTAACTAATAAAAAAGAGGTCGATAGAAGGAATCCAACAATGATGCTTGATCTATCCAAGGTTATTTTTCAAAATATTGTTTGATGGTATTAACCTGTATAAAAGAGGTCGAAAGAAGTCCAGTAAGAATCTTTGACCTATTTGAGGCTATTTATCTTAATGTAACTCGATTATATTAACATGTTTGAATCAAATCCCCATATGATCAATTATACCTTGATTGGGAGGAGGCCAATGGTGCATGTATCCTGAATCAAAGGTGAAGATTAGTCTGTCTTTAGATTGTTACAACCTTTTTGAGATCAAGTCTAAGACCTTGCCTAAGAATTAAAAGTTTAGCTGGGGACTATATAGAGTTTGAGATTCTCTCAAAGCCTCCTTATATTTTATGGAAGCCTTACAAAAGATTATTTCCAACAAGATTACTATGGACATTGAAAATATTGGAGGAACTTGCTTGGCTACAATCATGATTAAGATTTTGACATAAATATCTCTTTAATGTTGTAATCAAGATTGCCTAAAAAATTGATGCAACAATGGTTGATGATTGAGAGGTGATGAAAAAAATTATCGTTGTAGTGAGGTTACCCTCGCTATTGAGGATGTTGACCTCATTTTTAGCTATGGTCATTCAAATCCTAAATATCTGAATCATCATCTTGCTTTGGATCTAATAACTAGTTTAAATGCCCTATGCTTAGCCATTGAACCCTGAGCTCCTTAAACTAAAGTCAAGCACCCATGAAGTAGTTCATAACCCAAATTCACACTCAAGATGCATATATAGTGGGATGCAATCTGCATCACACTGGCTCTTTAACTTCAAACCTTGTATGAGCACCTATCATAGGAGCTCCATATACTAAATTCATCACTCCTAGCTTCCCAAGCCAAATGTTGACCCAGTTGACCTAATTAAGCTAGCCCAAACTAACTTAATTAAATATTTAAGGAGATGAAAAGTAACAAACAACATACTAAAGCATTCTCTTTAATGTTATAATCAAGATATATCATTACATTAAATATATAAGGAGATGAACAAAGTAATAAACAATATACTAAATCATTTCAGTATTTTCCATGTTACACCATTTCCATTACTTCTTTTCACCATACTAAAGGATCACATGATCACAATTTTAGAAGTTTATCACAGAAGCAGCACAACACATCAATTATTTGAGGAGAAAAAAATTACCATTAAGGTAACTTGAGAATTACGAGGCAACCGAGCTCCAACAAACACTTAACTCCTAATAGTAATCTGCAACGATAGTTGATGCCACAACCTAATCAAAAATGAAAAGCAGTGTTGGCCTAGGGTTAGGGTCAACCCTAACCAAAAATAATCATCCCACCAATCTCTATTCTTCAATAACAACTAACCAAACTAATAATCTGCACACTCCATACTAAATCAAAAGTAGTTGTTGGTAGTGCATCATATCTCAAATGGCCAAACTCAAAAAAAAAAAAAATCATTGCTCAAAGAATCCAAGTCAAATATTAAAATTACAAATTGAGCAATTATCTAAAAATAAAAGAACAATATGAGTTAATCTACACATTCTTCATTTTACCTAAACCAGAGAAATACTGATTAAAGAAATGCTAAGAAGAATGAAGATGGAGAAGGGAGGAGAGAACTTGCAATCGGGGAGTCATCTCACAATGCCTCATCTACTACTTGGTAACTGAGAGAACTAAAGGAAGCAGAAGCATAAGTGTCTCATTTTTTGCCATGGAGAAGGAAACCCTGGCTTTAGAAATTAGGTATCAAATAATCGGGCGAAGCAGAGGGGTCTAGTTATTAGCATTTATTTAATTGTTAGAAACTGCTAGATGGGGATGTGGGTCAAACTCGTGTTATTTTTGGGTTAACGGGTTGACCAAAATAAAACTCGATAAATGCTTCAAAAATTAAGACCCGAACCAGACCCATTTGTTAAACGGGTCAACCCAAACCCAAATTTTCTAAGTCTGGTATAGATTTGGTTATCATGATGTATCATTTGTTGACTAAGGTTGTAAGTGTCATAGTCGACAGGAGATAGAGGTCGGAGAGATTGTTGCAGGGTGAGCGAGGCCGGAGGGATTGTAGTCAAGAGATGGTGGCCCAAGGATCATAATCGTTGAGCGATGAAGATCAAAGGATTGTAGTCGGGCGACATAGGTCAGAGAGATCATAGTTAGGCGATAGAGATTGGATGGACCATAGTCAAGCGATATAGGTTGAAAGGATATGGTCGTGAAACAATGGTCCGAGGACTATATTATGTGGGCTATCGAGGACAGAAGGACTGTAGTCAGATGGCGATGCTTAGAGAACCATAGTCGGGTTAGTATGATCTGATGATTGTGGTTTGCTGGAGGTGCGATGGAGACCAGGAGATTTGTGGTCCAGCGATGGTGGCTAGGTAGATATTTGGTAATGATATGTTGGTTAAAGTTCTGCATTGATGGTTGGGTGGCAAGGATTCACCGTCGATGGTGCGTGGGTGGAGCTCCAAGATTCCTCATGTCTTAGAGCTCTCTTGATCTCCAACTCCAGAAAGTCCTCCCTAATTTATAGAGTAATGGTATATTTATAGTTTTTGATATATAGTGACATGCTCCGTAAATATAAAGAATATATGGGGCAAATTCGAAGTGTTACATCGGATGTCTCATATTTATTTGCATAATAATAGAGCGTTCGCCAAGTATTTAAGTGTCTTAATGATGTTATAATTAAAATACCTTGGGCTCTTTAGGTTTTTCTCGTCGAGCCGCTCCACTCAACTATAAGAATTTCATATTATGTTATCATTTGGTTGCCCACTTAATATTCTGAAGCTTCTGAATATATATATCAAGTCAATGATTTGGGCCCATTTGGGCTCATATTGGACCGATTTCAATGTCGTTGGGTTTGTCTCGTCGAGACGTTCACTTTAATTGTAAGTTTGTTGAAATCATAGCTCAAATGCATGATTTCATATTTAATTTTGAAAGTTTTTGATTTAATTATACCCCGTTATTTGTGCTAAAAAAAGACCAATTTTTGATGTCATATCATATACGTATTGATAATGATGTAACGTTATATTTTTTTCTATGTAATTATTAAAAATATCTTATTTTAATAGATTAAAAGGACATTTATCTATTTATTGAAAAAGAGAAATAATCAAAACTAATATAAGTATAACTATATTTTTCTACTAAAATATAATCCCACAAAATAAAATGATTAATTATCCATATAATTTATAATAAATGACTTACATATATATAAATCTATTAAGAATATCTTAATTAAAACTATACATATATATTTCCCATCCAACTAACGTCGTACCTTCCAAATGTGGATGCCCACTCCTCATCTTCCAGTACTCTTTTCAGTAATTTTGCACTCAATCCCAACATTTTTCACCCGTTCATCCCTTCTCGACCCGGCCCGACCCGACCCGAACCCACATCCTCTATGCAATTATTAATTAATTTAATACACCGCGTCCGAAGAGGCATGTGTGCATTTCCCACTGCACCCTCGAGGAAGTAACCAATTAATCAGCCCCCGCCATGATCGATCTCTCCATGGCCGCCTTCAACCCGCCAAGCGCCCTCGATCTCGTCCTCTTCCACAGACAAGAACGCGACTTCTTCATCCGTCTCGTCCATCGCCTCGGCCAACCCCGACTCGCCATGCATTGGGTCATGTCCCTCTGGTTCTGGTTCGAGTCCATTGGCCACCACGACTTCATCCGCCACGTCTCCTCATCTCCCGACCATGTCGTCCTCCGCTTCCTCGCCGAAGCCTACGCCTGCCTCCACCGCCTCATCTTCAACACTCCATCAGATCAAGAGGAAGATGAACAGCTTCCACTCACCAATACCCATCTCCTCGCCGACCCAATCGGGCTTAGCTTCTTCGATCATCACCGCCACGTTGCTCTCAAAGGCGTCGTTTATTTCCTCAGGAACGTTTCGGAAATCATATTTGATGATCATATTATGGAGACAGCCACTCGACAGGTTCTGTCTAGTGACCGGCTTCATATTTCGCGGCCTTCTGTTCTGCAAAGCGTGTGGGAGGAGCCTTCGCATCAGTTGTTGCAGAAGCACTCTTGCTCATCTTCAGCGTTAATGTTGAATCCGATCGCGAGGCCGTGGTCGCCGGAGACCGAACAGTCGCCGGAGGAGCAGAGGTCTATGTTCATCACTTTCTCGAGGGGGTATCCGCTAACTCGGGACGAAATCAAGGACTTTTTTAACATGTAATCACTTAACTTTTTGTTCTTCTCACGCCCTCAAAATCTGGGAGAATAATTTGATGTGGGATTCTAATCAGAATTTGATTATGATGGGAAATTATTATATATATGCGCTGTTGGTTGGTGCGGATAGTCAATTTTGTTGGAGCATATAAGATTGACTATGCAAATATTTTTGAACATATATATCAGTATGCGATAAAAAAAAATATCAGCATATAATTAATAATTTCCCAGCTTTTAAACTATTTAATTTGTTTGCAATTAGCGCATTATATATACAAAAAAGTCTACTCATTATTGTTATTAAAATTTTCTAAAATGCTCTCCAAACTATTCATGTATTGTCAATTTAATTTAAAAGTATCATTTGCTCTAATTTAATTTATCGGCTATATAAAATTAATCTAAAATAATCTCTCCTATTATATCTTTTAGTGAGAAAATACTTTATAATCATGATACTTGTTGTGAGATGGATATATTATATGATTAATTAATTGAAATTTATATTATATTCAATTCAATGTAAATTTATTGGCTATAAAATAATCTAAATAAAAATTGAAACCTTGACCCATGTTTTTGCATGTATATACATGTTATTTCATATTTAGTGTTGAGAGGAGAAATTTTACTATTTGATTGATCAATAGTAATTGGAATTTATTTATTAATAAATTTGAATGCATTTGCACATATGTAGGAAGTTTGGGTGGCCGTGTGTGGAGATGGTGATGATAGAGAGGGCACCAATGGGGATGGCGCCAATGTATGGACGAGTGGTGTTCACGGACGCATCAATGATAGTGGCGGTGCTCAATGGACAAAAAACAGCCAAATTTATGATTAAAGGGAGACATCTTTGGGCACGCATGTATGTGCCACGCCATTCAACTAAGTAATCTTAAATTTTATTTAGGATAATTTTCTTACGATTTTATTTTTCACACAAATAGAGTAACTTTATTTGAATATATATATATATATATCATCTTTTTTAGAAGAAAAAAATACATATTTTTGATACTAGTGGTAATTTTTAAAATGTCTACTTTGTCCCTTCTACAACTATTTTTAGAGAGAGCTGCAACTATTTTTATTTTTTAGAGAGAGCTCCAACGCCAAAAACTACTTTCCTCTGCAAATTTCTTTTTTATTGAGGCCATGCTGGTCAATACTTATTTGCAAAGTCACTCAGCTTACCACAAATTACATCAGGATTTTAACCCTTTTCACAATGTTAGCACACATGGACAAAACGGTTGCAAGTATTACCAAGTTAATGTGGATTACCTGCTCCAACCGCCTCCATTCATCCATATTTTATACGATTTCAAACTGCTCTAACTGATGACACTATGTCCTTCTTTTACTTAAAGTTACTCTTATATATATATTTATATTAATACATTAAAAACTGAAATGCCATGAATGAGAATACAAAAGGAAATTATTAATTTCTTCCTACTCTGTTTTTCTTCTTATACTACATATATGTGAGTTTCTTCATGGTATCATAGCAACAAGCTTAGCTGCCAATCTCTCCAATGGCCGATCAAGACGCATCCTCAGCCAATCCTCCAGCCTCCTCGTTGTCAACTTCCATGGCAGATTTCATTATCTTAACTCCTCTAAAATTTCTTATGTCTAACCTAACGCTTATAATTAACCTCCAACTAAATACCGAAAACTATGTCATCTGGAGTTTACAGATATACAAGTTGTTTGTTACAAATGGGTTCGAAGGATACCTTAATTACTGGACATCAGAACCAACCCATGGAATCCTTTGACCACCCTGACCACCGCCTATGGCATTTGATAGACCAAAATCTGGTTTTTGTTCTACTTTCCACCATTTCACCATCTGTCTTGCATTACATTCTTAGTCTCTTCACTACACACAAAATATAGAGCACATTGACAACTCGTCTCCAAACAACCAACAAATAAAGGGTGATCCAATTGAAGAATGAACTCCCAACATACAAATTAGTGAAGGATAACACAATGAACCAATATATGGCCCAAATGAAAACTCTAGTGGACAATATAGCCACTGCTGGATCCCATGACGACTCTGATGACATCATTCTCTACATTCTGAATGATGTGTTGCCAACTTATAACTCATTCAAAACTATCATTCGTACCTCTTTACAACCTATAAGTCTCGATGTCCTATACTCGCTCCTATGTAGTGAAGAAATCAACATTCAAAATGAAGCTCAAAAGGACATCACACCATCTCCGAAATACCTAGCTCTTGACTCTGATAGCTCTCGATCCTTCAGAGGCAGGCCATACACCGCCAATCGCACTCGCAGTTCTTCTTATGAAAACCCTTTTCTTCCATATTCCGCTTTGTTTTGAACATTTTTTTCTTCCAGGTTCATCCGTACGAAATTGAGTTCGTCCAGGACGAACAATTGAAAGTTTTTGACATAGAGCATCGTCCTGTGACGAAATTAATTATTGTCTGTACGATGGCAACCCGAGGAGATCGTACCTGTACGAAAATTAATTTTCGTTCATACGAACGTTGTTTGTGAACAATCGAGCCGGTCGTCCCGGGACGAATGAAAATTTTTTTCGGGACAATCGTAAATATCTTTTTAAGCACAGTTTGATTCTTTTTTAGGAAAGAGAAAGATGAGAGATAAGAGGAGAAAGGAAAAAAGCTTGGTTTCGGAGGCCGCGGAGTCATTTTCGTCCGTCAACACAGTTAGAAGAATTCTTTGCCTCGCAGTAAGGAATCCATATCCTATTTCTGATTTTGAAAATTTCGTGTTTTGGTATATTTTTGTTCAGATTTGTGTTTTTATTACCAAAAAATGTGCATAACTTTGTATTGACAAAACTTTCACCTCGTAATTTTTTGTATGTTATAGAGAATATGATTTTGCACTTTTTAAGTATTTATTTGGAAATTTTGCATCGGGTATTCTAAATTCTATGAGATTTTTATCGAATAGAAAATTATCTGTATATTGAAAAATAGTGCTTCAGTGCAATAAAAACTTTGAAATGTTATCTTATACGATCTCTAGTAATTTGGTAATTTTCTAAAACTGTTCATTTTACAACGACTTCTATCTACTGTATGATATTTTAAGAGTTTTCTAAATTAAGTTAAATTATTTCTATTTGATGCAATGCATTGATGAGATAAAAATGAATATGGTTATATGATTGAAAGTACTGTTATATTACTGTGATACGATTGTGTGTGTAAAGACAAGTGAAGACTGGTTGAACCGTTGGTTGGAGACATTGACTTTTATAGGATGTTGGGTCGATGGGCTTTTCTTTAAATACGATTTTGTGTTATCCTCTACTGATCGTGTGATTATTGATTGGAAGTTATAAGGAGATTATTACTATGCCGATGGGCAAAGAGAGATGACTCTGTTTATTGAGCCAATGGATATAAGATAATGATCTTGATACAAGGCTGAAAAATAACGTAATAGTCAACGCTTTTACTTGTTGAGTATGTCTACTGTACTGAAATGTATGTTTTAGAAGTATTGTTCTTATTGATATTGTACAAATTTATCGTTACTGTACAAAATTTTTTGTTACTATACGATTTCATTGTTTTAGCATTACTGTTCATGTCACTGGATTGTTACTGATATTAACACTAATATAGGCACTAATACTATTGATTCCCTGTACTGATATTATGCATGTGATATATTGAGCAAGTAACATGTGATTCACTGAACACGTGATATAGATTACTTGGTTGTATGTGATATATTGAGCACGTGATATTGAATAGCTGGATTTACAAGTGTACGTTTTGATACGATTCTACTGCATTAATTGATTCCAACTATCTCGAATGATGTTGTGATTTTATTTCATTGATCTGATTGCAATAATCATTACTGATGTATTGATTTGATGCTTTATACAATTTTATACCGACTGATATTATTGACCCGATGATTTCTTTATTGATTTAACTGATATTATAGATACGACAATTTCTTCATTGATTTTAGTGACATTATTGACCTATTTCTTTATTGGTTTAACTGATATTACTGATACGATGATTTCTTCATTATTTCACTGATATATTGACCCAAGGATTTCTTCATTGATTTGATTGATGTTATAGATACGACGACTACTGTAGATATGTGATGCACGTATTGATTCATTGAGCTTTATGGATTTTTATATTGTTTACTGATTCTTCAAATGTCGATTGTGGATTTTATTATTTTTAAATTTATACTGATTATACATTGATTACTATTTCTATACTGATTTATATTTCTGCATTGACTCAATGATCATGTGAAAGTGATTGCTATGATTTGACTGATTGACATGCATATTGTTTCTATACCGTGATTTAATTTTAGTTATAGGTATTTGGTGACTTGCTGGGCTTTTTAAGTTCATTATATGTAGTTGATGATTTCAGGTCAGGTCAAGGGAGCAGGAGTGTGAGATTGATAAGAAATTTTCAGGTTTTTGTTGCTTTTGTTATAGTTATTCTTTTATACTTATGACAGGATGGATATGCGATAATTGTGAAGATCCTGAGTAATGTAAATGACTTTTGGTAATGAATATAAATGTGAATATTGATGTTTTTAAATTATAGAGTTTGTTGTATTGTTTATCACTGATAGATGACTATAGATTACTCTGGTAGTTGATTGATTTAAAGGATCGATTGAATAATTCTTCCAAGTTAGATATTGGGATTGTCACAAATTGGTATCAGAGTAGTGCTATTGAAAGAATTGATTGTTAAAATCTAAAATGCCATGAATGAGAATACAAAAGGAAACTATTTATTCCTACTCTATTTTTCTTCTTATACTACATGTATGTGAGTTTCTTCATGGTATCATAGCAACTAGCTTAGCCGCCAATCTCTCCAATGGCTGATCAAGACGCATCCTAAGCCAATCCTCTAGCCTCCTCGTTGTCAACTTCCATGGAAGATTTCATTATCCTAACTCCTCTAAAATTTCTTATGTCTAACCTAAAGCTTATCATTAACCTCCAACTAAATACTGAAAACTATGACATCTGGAGTTTACATATATACAAGTTGTTTATTCCAAATGGGTTCAAAGGATACCTTATTGGACATCAGAACCAACCCATGGAATCCTCTGACCACCCTGACCACCGCCTATGGCATCTGATAGACCAAAATCTGGTTTATGCTCTACTTTCCACCATTTCACCATCTGTCTTGCCTTAATTTCTTAGTCTCTTCACTACACACAAAATATGGAGTACATTGGCAACTCATCTCCAAATAACCAACAAATCAAGGGTCATTCAATTGAAGAATGAACTTCCCAACATACAAATAAAGGATAACACAATGAACCAATATATGGCCCAAATGAAAACTCTGGTGGACAATATAGCCACTGCTGGATCCCATGTCGACTCAGAGGACATCATTCTATATATTCTGAATGGTGTGTTGCCAAGTTATAACTCATTCAAAACTGTCATCCGTACCTTTCTACAACCCATAAGCCTCGATGTCCTATACTCGCTCCTACGTAGTGAAGAAATCAACATTCAAAATGAAGCTCAAAAGGACATCACATCATCTCCGAAACACTTTGCTCTTTACTCTGATCGCTCTCAATCCTTCAGGGGTAGGCCATACACCGCCAATCTCACTCGCAGTTCTTCTCACCCACCCCTCCCCTCAGTCCACGTCCTTCACCTCCCACCAGCAATCTCCTCCCAATTTGCTAGATATGCGGAAAGAGGGGACACACCATCCTTACTTGTTGGCACTGATGCAATCTCCAATACGCAGCTCCTTTTACACCCCATCTAAAGCTCTACTCTCCCATCCTCCCAACTCCTCTACAATAGAATGGGTATTGGAATCAGGAGCTTC